ATATATTTTCTCGCCAACCATTCAATGAATATGTTTAACATCTCACAATCACTTACCCGTTACGAAGTGAGTCGAATTTATTTCTCCGGAAAGGTAGAGTGTACTTTTTGAGTTGGGATGGCACAGTAATATTAGTAACTAGCGTAATCACTACCGTAAATTTGTTTAATACTAATATCATAACTGACAGAATACTCCGTCTATAATTTGTTATGACATATTTTTTTTTAATAATTCCATCATTAAATATCAATAGATTACTTTAGTTGATATTTATTGAAGGAATGACAAACAAAATATTTAAAATAAAAAAAACAGTTTATTGATATTGAAGTTTTTACAAGTGATTTTACCAATGAAATCACCAAGGGTTTTAAAATGATAGCTCCGTATGGTGACGTGATCGATTCACCATTTGAATTGTTGATGAAATCACCAAGGGATTCAAATTGAAATCTTTATATAGTGACACGTATGGTGACGTGACCGATTCATCATTTGAATTGTTGATGAAATCACCAAAGGATTCAAATTGAAATCTTTATATAGTGATATGGTCTATTTACCATTAAAAGGGTCGACAGAAGCACCGATGAAAGTATTTCATCGGTGAGTCCGTTTGTAAAAGTTAACATATGACCACTTTACCGATCCTCTCCTCTTTTATTTTTCATTCTCTTTTCCAATCCTAACTCTCCTCTACTGCAAACAACCAGTCCAAAAAAAATCTCCATTTTCTCAGCACAATAAGTCATATTTCTTGAAATTTTGTGGTCACAACATCCATATTTTGATTTACCAATTGATTTTATTAGTTTTTGTAAGTAATTTTATCTTTTTAAAATTTAACATTTAAATTTAAATTTTATTATTTTTTAGTATATGCATTCTGTTAGTATATGTACACATCTTATTGTTGTTTCTCAAACAAACTTGTAGTACATAAATATACAATTTTATACTTGTTATGGTTTGTTTTATATTTTATAAAATTATATTTGCTTGTAAATTGTTGAAACTTTATTGAATTACCGAATAACATGTGCTGTTTTGAAATAATCAATAGCTTGTTTAACAAGTCCATTTTAATTATTATCAATGGTATTGCGAAGTTGTAATTTTTATAAATTTATATGTATTAATTTGTATGGACGTCGATAATTGATAATGAATATTTAATATTATGAGATGTTGTAATCAATTTGTTGGATAATCTTGAGGTAAATCAATATTTTTACAAATTTATTTACCTATCATAGTTAATTAATACATGTTATCATCATAATTATATAGTGGTTCGATAGAAGTCATGAAAGACATCAATCTTTTCGTCGTGTCAAACGACATCCATAGATTATAGATAATGAATTATTGTAACGGGATTCATGGTTTTATTAATTTCACAATATCTATTCTCAGAATTTTTATTAGAGACGGTATTAGGTGTCCATGCAAGAAGTGTTAAAATAAAAGGTATTAACATCCACATGGTGGAATGCTGCATCTTCTACACGAAAGGTTTGTAGAGAATTACCGGTGTTAGTATGCATATGGAGAAATATTTGTTCGTAATAAAAGAATGGGAAAAAGGGTGGTTAGGTCAACTTCTAATGTTAGTAACGTCCATGAAGCAGCTAATGACAACACTAATCCTTACATGAATATAATTATGGATGCAATGAAAATGAACAAAGGTAATATTAGTTAATGTTCAGTCATAGAAGAAGAACCTAATGCAGATGCATTTAGGTTTTTTAATTTGTTGAAAGATTCTGACGAACTATTATGGGATGACTACATGAACCATAGTTTTAAGAAGACCTATAATAGACGGCCGAGAAAGAGATATGGGGACGATCCTTTGACCTATTTGGATTTTGATCTGGATTTATAGATGAAGGTTTAACCGTCCGATGGATTTGATCAAAATCAAGTGTACGGGCTCTCCAACACTACTACCAAGAACTTGCGGGCGACCGTTAGTGTCTTAATTGTTAGGAGCTCCCAATCATTATCGAGTACCTAATCTAAACAGTTTTTAGCCTTGCAGCAACACACGACTCAGCTCATCGAAAATTACAAGCACTTATCGGTGACTTATGAACAACTCTCGATAAATTATGAACAATTTCACCAAATGGTCATGAACATGACATCATACAGTAGTGATACATGTGCGCCTTTTTCTTTTTGGTCGTATAATAATCAGCCTCCTGCTCTTCCTCCTTCTTCTCCAGCTTCATCATTATGTTAATTTGTAATGAATATCATTTAACTTTGATTTTAATATTTTTTTTGAAACACATTTATTTTGTAATGAATATTATTTAACTTTTTTTTTTGATGTTTAATAAAAATCTTATTTGCATAATTGTTTTTTTACTATTAATTATATAATTTTATATTATTCTAAATCATTTTTTTGAAAAAATATTTAAAAATAATCATTGAGCGTTTTATTGATGGATTGCATCCATCAACATTTGGCAGAAAGTGGGAAATGCCAATCGTATCGACAAATTTACAGATGGAGTGTTTTCGTCTGCATTTCACAGTAATTTAGAGCAAATGCCACAATCATAGAAGAATTTATAGACAGATATATTCTATGGGTATTTTACACACTCACCTACAAAGTTACTAAGGGTTATAGTCCATCGGCATTTAACCAGGAGATAAAAAATATGCAGTGGATATGCTATTATCATCGATGAAATTAATCCATCAGTATATTTCAAGTGAAAAAATTTTTTTAGCGCGCAATTTCCTTCTATAAAACTATTGGCAATTATTTTTTTTACTAACCGATGTAGCGATAGAATTAGGTATTACCAACGAAATGAAAGCCAACTAACAGTTTCTGTTGGGGATGTTGTCGGTTAAAAAATTATCGACAAACGCTGAATTACAGACCAACGGAATAGATCCATTAGTAAAGCTGTAAAATCTTGTAGTGAATTACAAGGTGATTAATTAAATTTCCAAATGAAAAAAATAAAGAGTTATGATATAATAAATAAGAATATTTAATAATTCATACCTGAAGGCATCATGTTTCCCGTTCCTTAAAGTATCTTTTCATTGCCTCTTGTTTTGATGCTTGCTCAGCTATTAAAGGATGAACAATTTCAATACTCCTTAATTTCATGTAAATAATATACTATTATCACTTATGAATCTCCTATGAAATTTTGTTGGGAAACAAGTTAACTGTGTTGGCACAAGGAGAAATATATTAACAATAAAAATATTATTGGGTTATTTATATATAATTCAAAACTAAATATTTAATGCAAAATATTTTTATAGTTATTATTTTTTTTATTAGTATGCCTTTCAATTTTTTTTTCTATTGGATGAAATGATTTTTCTATTTTTTTAAATTATTAATGGGGTTTTCTAGTTTTTTTTTATACAAAGGGTTGTAATAGCATTTAGACAATTATAAACATAAAAGAATAAAATAAAGTACATTAAGAGTCTTCTTGTACTTATAGTGTTTACAGTATTTGAAGGTTTTTATCTGTAATAAACTTAGTTGTTTTTCACTCTTATCTCTCCGATTAGCATATAACCTAATGATTTATGATAGTTTGGGTTAAAGGTCACAACTAACATGTACAAGAACTCAATGGTCATTAGTGATTAGTTGCTATGTGCTTTTGAATAGCTCTTCATGGGAGAGGGCGTGGAACAAGGTGTGCTTGTGTTAGATGAGATAATTTTTTTTTTTTTATCATGAAAGAGATGTTTATTAACTAATTTTTTATTGTTATTCGCGTCAATAGTTAATATTAAATATCTCAGTGGTGAGATCCATAATAAAATAACTTATTCAAAAATGTTATGCTAAGGACTCAAGATAGAATGACCCACACTGAGATACTAAGAATCTATGATGAGAAAACATGTAGAATAATGATAGGGACCTATAATGAGATGACCCATATATAAAGGGATATTCATGATAGAGAACACTTTTTTACCGATGAATGAACTTGATAATAAGTTTCTTTTATCCTGAAAAAACTACTATAAAAGTGATTTTTTAGAAAATCGATATATTTTTTATTGTTATTTTTCTATCATGTACAACCATGACTCTTTCTAGATTTTCTACTATTTAAAAATAATGTTTTTTCTGGTTTATTTCTTTATTTAATATTACTAAGGTTGTTTTACTTTTTTGTAATATACATGTAAAATGTTATAATAACTGATTGATGAGGAAAGATATGAATGGATAAAATTAAATATTTTAAGAATTATTCAACATTATTGGTTTTTGTAGATTTTGAATCATAATAAACAACGTAATCTTTTGCTTTTATCTATGTCAATATCTCTGCAAATGATTTTAAGAATGTATTCCTCACCATTAATCTAATAAAACAAATTGTAGTGTTTAGTGAGTAGTATTTTATTAATTACTTCACATAATTCATTAAAAAATTGATTTATAAAAAAATAATTCCAGATGAATATTCTTACAGGGGATCATAAATTTTATTTCATCTATATTTTCTTTGGACGTATTTATTTGTTTAAAATATGTTGCTTATGCTTCATGGGCATTTAATAAATATTAATTTGAAAAAGAAACCAAACTTCTTTGACTACCGAAACGATTTCCTAATACACTGGACAACAATGACGGCACAACTGACCAATCAAACCCACGTCAATGAACACCCCACGAGAATTTGAGTTTTGCTGACTCAGCACTCCCAATAAAGCCTTCTCGTTTCCGAAATGGATAAACCTCACCGTTGAATCCGCAAAAACTGGTTACCTCACATAAAATATCATCGACACCATCCAATAATATTTCACCACGTGTAATAAAACGAGACGATGATTTCTTGTCCCTCTGAGGTTCCGGCTTTCTCCGGTTACCAGCAATCACTTAACTAAATTAAAAGAAAATGAAAAAACCGACGCCGTTAAATGGCGTGGCTGCTTGGTTGTGGCACTATAAATACGAGTGCTTAGAGGAGGGAACTTACTCATTCAACAATAACAAAAACAAACTCTTGCTCTACGTGTTGGTGTTTCCTATTAACAGTCCATCTCCTTCTCCTGCCACCACTCTTTGCTTTTTATTACCAGATTTTCTTCTTTCATTACTACCCTGTTTCATCTGTATAGTTTATCCATCCATTTTTCTCTATCTTTGCTTTTAAGCTATACATATCTAGCAAAATCTTCTTTTATCTGCTATATCGTTTTTTTTTCTAAGAAACGAGGATGTGTGGGATACTTGCTGTTTTGGGTTGTTCTGACGACTCTCAGGCCAAGAGGGTTCGGGTGCTAGAGCTTTCTCGCAGGCAACTCCCTCTCTCCCTCTCTCATTTATCTAGCCTTTACGTTTTCGCTAACATTTCCACCCATATTTTATTCTTGATATATATATAAATTTGCAGTTTTCAATGTTTATTTCATAGCACTGGTGCTACCTGGCTAGCGTAACAGTAAAAGTACGAAAATGTTTTTCCTCCGCTGGTATATTTCCTGGCGCAGACAATTAACGAAAAGGAGTTAACAGTATTTGGAGATATGGACGTGGGACCAGATTTAAGATGAAAAATATTAAAAACGACCAGAAACCTTATAAAGTCTTTAGGATTCATGGACATGTTCCGTTTAATCAAGACGAAGGATAGAAGGTTATCGTTCCGTTAATTTGATGATGATAGGGGACTGATGGGTCCAGCAATACTATTATAATCGACAAATTTGCGGGTATCAAAATTGCAATGGGATGAATAATGCTGTCTAATTATAATTGTAACAGGTTGAAGCACCGTGGTCCAGATTGGAGTGGGCTCTATCAGTGCGGTGACTTTTACTTGGCTCATCAAAGGCTGGCTATTATCGACCCTGCTTCCGGTGACCAGCCACTCTTTAATGAAGACCAAGCCATCGTTGTCACGGTTGGTTATTTTGCAGTTTTTCATTTTTTGGCGTCAGACCAACAGTTTAGTTTCTGTTACGTTAAAATTTGCAAAACATGACATTATTTTGGTTGCAAATTACAATTAAAATTATGAGTATTCACTAAGTTTAACGAGTCGTTGGTGTTGAAAATAGGTGAACGGAGAAATTTATAACCATGAAGAACTAAGGAAGCGTTTGCCAAATCACAAGTTCCGAACAGGCAGTGACTGTGATGTTATAGCCCATCTGGTGGGTTGTGCTAACAAATTATGATAATTAGATCGCATGAATTCTCAGTTATATTGAATCCAAAGGACTAATATTGAAGTAGAATGGAAGTAGTTTGCAGTTCTTGGTTCTAACGAGTGACCATGTTCTTGAAAATTTTTGAATTTAGTACGAGGAATATGGCGAAAATTTTGTGGACATGTTGGATGGAATGTTTTCATTTGTTCTGCTGGATACTCGTGACAACAGTTTCATTGTTGCCCGTGACGCCATTGGGATCACCCCCCTCTATATTGGCTGGGGACTTGATGGTAACAGCTTGTCTGATCCTGGTTTTTCAAATTTATTTATGTCTAATGACTTGGATTTTGTTTGATGATTTTACCTTTTCTTTTTATTATTCAGGGTCCGTGTGGATTTCATCTGAAATGAAAGGTCTGAATGACGACTGTGAACATTTTGAGTGCTTTCCTCCTGGTCATTTGTACTCGAGTAAATCGGGTGGATTACGTCGTTGGTACAATCCTCCTTGGTTCTGCGAGGCCATTCCCTCAACCCCATATGATCCACTTGTTCTGAGACGTGCATTTGAAAAGGTAAAGACAAATATATAATTGGGCTTACTGTAAGTTGTTTTTCTTGATGTTAAAAATTAACAAACAGGAAATTCTTATGGTGTAGCTCATATGTTAAGAGTGATATACGCAGGCTGTAATTAAAAGGCTAATGACTGACGTGCCTTTTGGAGTTCTTTTATCTGGGGGCCTAGATTCATCACTGGTTGCTGCTGTTACTTCTCGCTATTTGTCAAGTACAAAGGCTGCCAGACAATGGGGGGCACAACTCCATTCCTTCTGTGTTGGCCTAGAGGTGAGTGTAAATTATTGTCGTAAGAAATTCAGTATACAGGCCTTAAAGAGTTTGATGGAGTCCTTGATTTTGTCCCTCGTGCTAAGCAGAATTCACCAGATTTGAAGGCTGCAAGAGAAGTTGCAGATTATCTGGGAACCGTCCACCATGAATTTCACTTCACGGTTCAGGTATAAAAATCAAGCAAAGTTTTTAAGCTCAATTTCGTGCTATCATTCTATGAATTCTATGAATACCCAAAAGTGTAAACTAACATCTTTGGCTTGTTAATTACAGGATGGTATAGATGCAATTGAGGATGTCATATACCATATAGAAACATATGATGTTACAACCATCAGAGCAAGTACCCCTATGTTCCTTATGGCTCGTAAGATCAAGGCACTAGGAGTGAAGATGGTTATTTCTGGTGAAGGTTCTGATGAGATTTTTGGTGGGTATTTGTACTTTCATAAGGCACCTAACAAAGAAGAGTTACACCGCGAAACATGTCGCAAGGTAACCAGCTATATGCATATACCACTCTTCTGTTGAAACGTAGAGAAATAACAAGGGAGCGTTCTGATAATTCTATTCTGTTTCGTGTATGTAGATAAAGGCCCTTCATCAATATGATTGCTTGAGAGCTAACAAGGCAACATCTGCTTGGGGTTTAGAAGCCCGTGTCCCCTTCTTGGACAAGGATTTTATTAATGTTGCAATGGCTATTGATCCTGAATGGAAGATGGTAAAAAAACCTTCCGTTGAACTTTTAAACATTTTTTCTTTCTATGTATGAATTTTCAAGTATTGATACTCACGATTTTAAAGCCTGTTAAGTGATTCTCTCTCTATTCATCAATTCCAGATCAAACCCGGACAAGGTCATATTGAGAAATGGGTCCTTAGGAGAGCCTTTGACGACGAGGAGCATCCTTATCTGCCCAAGGTCCATATATATTAATTGTCTTCCTTCTAACTCCACAAGCACATTAATTGCTTTAGATTAACATGTCCCATTTGATTTTCTGCAGCATATTCTTTATAGGCAGAAAGAGCAATTTAGCGATGGTGTTGGCTATAGCTGGATCGATGGTCTCAAAGCTCATGCTGCCCAACATGTACCTATCTGAGTTTTTGTTTTGTATCCTTTTGTTTCGTTTATAGCATATTTCTATTTGGAAGCTCATACTGCAGAATTAATATTTTCAGGTGACTGACAAGATGATGCAAAACGCTGAGCACATCTTTCCACATAATACCCCTACCACTAAAGAAGCCTATTACTACAGAATGATTTTTGAGAGGTTCTTCCCACAGGTAATCGTACAAAACCTACCACAGTAAGTAAAGGATGGGCTATGCTAATGGTGTCAACACTAATTTGATTATTATTATTGCTCTTCATTTGCAGAATTCAGCCAGGCTGTCTGTTCCTGGAGGAGCCAGTGTAGCATGCAGCACAGCTAAAGCTGTGGAATGGGATGCTGCCTGGTCCAATAATCTGGATCCTTCTGGCCGGGCTGCATTGGGTGTACATCTCTCTGCTTATGATCAGCAGGCAGCTCTTGCCAATGCAGGAGTGGTGCCACCAAAAATTATTGACACTCTTCCTCGGATGTTGGAAGTTAGTGCTTCGGGAGTTGCGATCCACAGTTAGCGCCCGCTGGAGGACTAAGTATTGGTTAATTGATATCTATAGCCTTGGCATTATTTAAACTTGTGTTGCCTTAAATATGGAAAAATCTTATAGGTCGTATGTAGATGTTACAAATAATTATCTGTGGTCCTTCGAACTTTGAAGTCGTGTGTTGTCATTACTTTGTGGTTTTTGTACAAGGTAATTCATGTATGTTATCAACGCCCCGTAGCTGTTTAAAGCTGTAATGCAACCTTTCCTATGGTTTCTTCGCTCCATATTTAAGTTTTTTTTTTCTTCTCATCTTCTTAGTTATAGTATAAAAAAATCCAATATCCAATTTTAATCATCGGAAAAGAGGGACAATGGATGTCTACATTTGTCTCCGCCATGGTACGTACAATATTTAGCAGAAGCCCTTTTCGAATAACTTTTCATCACTGGGAAAATCGCAGACGAGATCCGATGCTGGCAGTGAAGCTTAAGTGAAGGACATGAACAAACCACAAGGAACATTTTTCTTTTTTGCAATGTTGAAATAATATTTTGAGTTTTTATACTGTAACTAAACATTCAAACATGCTACAGAACAAGGGCTCCAGATCCCACATGAGTTGGGCTTAAATGACCACTATCATTCTTGCAGTTCATCACTTCAGGAATAACTAATCCGAGTCCATGAAGGGATCAAGTTAACTAGCAAAAATAAAGCAGCAAGCTTTCTCCCAGTCACCCAACAAGGAATCATCTCTCTTCGTGGTATACAATATCACTAATTTACAAGGCGGGCTAATTGGAACATATGTATATCTTAGTCTAAAGATCATACAAAACAATAGAAGACAAGAGGATTGCAAATTATGCATCTCTCCGAACACGTATATCATTAGAATTGGTAGTTAACAAATAACAATAAAATAGACTTAAAAGAACAAGGCAGCGTAGAACAATTGGTTCCAAGTATCAGGCAGTCCAGGAAGGCACCAGTGGCTACAATCCGCGGATCCCGATGGATCCGCCCTCTGCTGAGGGCTCAGAACGCCACTATAAATTGATGGGTGCCCATCTTTTCTCAACTCTGAGAGCATTGTGATGTCCAACAAATATGCAGGATTATGCATGTCTCTGATCACAGTATCCACGACCCTCATTTGATCAGGGTACGCTCCAGGGTATGTCATTCCATTCATTGGTGTTGTCTCGCCATAGCAATTCCTCGTTGTTGTTACTGTCGTTCCCGCGCTCCATTCACTTGGACTGTCACAGAACAATAACCAAAAAGGTTTACTGTTAATTTCCAGCTTAGCAGAGTAATACTTAATTCTTCAGAAGCTAATTACATGCACGATCCTATTAAACGAGGAATAGTAATGCCACTGCCGCTGACAACCGACAAATGATCGGTGTTCTTTTTCAGGTGTCATTAGAACAGGATCACGTGACGAGACCACTGAAGGATGTCGGTAGCTTCGTCTTTCACTTGGTTGCCCCTCTCCAAGGTTTGTGATATCATGTATTCTTTAGTCTTTTGTGTAATTAGTTGAAAATGAATTTTATTTTTCCTGACACTCTGACTGGACAGATGAAATAATTATGGACACTACTCTTATAAGCTTCAAGGCTCTAAAAAAGTCTTATGGGATGACTGAAAATGGTTTATTCCCCGCAGTTGATTCAAATTATTTCATGTCAAATCCATTGTTGGGATCTGTGGGGGTCCACTAATTAATTTGCCTCTTCTGGCATATTCGATCGAATTGCAAGCATATTTATCTTTGAGTTTCAAAATTACTTTTGAATTTTTGAATTTTTTTATATTTTCAAATCATTTTTCTATATTAATATAAAAAATAATTTTTAAAAAAATAAAAAAAAATATTATTTTATTATATTTTTAAGACAAAAATACTTAAAAAACAATCATAACGAGATTCACCTAATGCTAGTTTCTTTTGTACTCAGATTTCTTGGGTGTCTGCTACAGTGTTGTTGCGTTAGAATATCAATGCCATTCTAAATACCCTTTTTATAATATGACTAAAAAACACCATTAGATTAAAGAAAAAAAAAACTAAACTATTTAAAGTGAAAAAAACTCGATAATGGCTAATCGAATTCTCTTGTTCAGACTTCCCAACATTAAAAAATGACGTGGAATTTAAAAATTACAAGTAAATAAAAGGAAGAAAGAAAAGGAGAATAAAAAATGAGATTAAATGAAAGCTCTCGCTTCCAAAAATCTATAGATACCAAAATTAAACCATCTCATCTTCAGGTTTATGAGGATTTGAGATTATGAATCTAAAAACTTTCAAATTGATTTATGTTTTTATTAGTTGTTTAAACATAGTTTCTGAGGTTATAAGTATCAGATAAGCGTTTGAAAGTATTTTTAAATGAAAAAAAGAAAGAATAGTAATTCACTATGTTGCCGACAATCTAGCCGGGACACAGCGACCTAAGGAAAAAAGAAGATTTGACTGCAGCACGCCTGAGAAAATATCGTTCTTGACATATAAGAAGATACTAATTTTTCCAGTAGATAATTATTTTCTAAGAAATTTTTGATTAAAAAACACATCTTTAATTAGTATTTGAAAAAAAAATTAATTAATTTAAGTTACCATCCTACATTTTTTAGTTAATTTCAATCAATATTAATATATTGATATTTTCTTTTTATTGTTAACTTATTTTTTCATTGTTTACCTTTAACTAACGCGTCTTCATTTGTTTGTGAATGCGGCTGACAGCGATGCAGAATTTGCATCATCAATATTATTATTTCTTTTTTTTTGTTGCCCGTTCTACCCCTGCCTGCCTTCCCCGTCTATCAATAACCCGCAATATTCGTTATAATTACAATAAATGACCCTGGTGGGGAAGCACCCATCAATTGCAACTCGCACCTTCCCTATTACCGATTCAACTCTCCATCGTGTTCACATTATTGTTTTTATATTTTTTTATTTTAAATTAATATTTTTTAGTGTTATCAGGTATTTTAATACCCCAATATTAAAATAATTTTTTAAAATAAAAAGAATATTTTAAGCAAAAAAAATAATTTAAAAAAACTACAACTGCCGTACTCACAGACATCACTAAAATCGGACCCATTTTTTGAGTGCTAAAACCACTCCCAACGGACAATAAGATTGGAAGCAAAGACCAATTATATGAGAGGGAGAGGGGGGGGAGACGTACTTGTAATGTGTAGGAGAGATGGACTGGAAAAAGACTCTGGTTCTAGCAGTGTCGATGTTGGAGTCCACCCATTTAGCCCATGTTCTTAGCCCTCTCTCCAATGCAACCAGACGATCCATATCTTGGTAGAATGTACCTCCTGATTCCATGTAATCCCATCTGTCCATCACACGCTACTTTTATTTAACAAATCCTACTGGTACGTACTGTTACATTTATTTATTTTCATCAACACTGAAGAAACATAGCCCATCAACGAACACAAATTGAGTTTTTTCCTTGCCCTAGTCTGACTATGACCGGTTAAAAAGTTATTTTTCAAATTATCACGACTGAAGAACCAGGATTAAAACAAAGACAAGGGTAACAGTACTTCTTACCCTTGGAGAGAACCTTGGTGACTCCACCAGTGACCGGTGTTGAAAACCAGCACATCAGCATTTCGCCAGGCGTTGGCATTCCCCGAAATTTCCTCTAGCCTCAGAACCCTCTTCCCTTGTACCGCATCAATGTCTACCAAATATGGAGCTTTATAGTAGGAAATGGACACATCATAATCCTGCACAATACCAAACCCAGATCAGGAAAATAACCTCCATTTCCTTGATCTCCTTTTGACGGCCGAAATTTACCTTAGCTAATGTGCCGCAGCTGGCAACTTTGGCATCAACGGTGATAAAGCACACCAACATAGTTAGGGTTAGGGCCCCTCAAAACTATGACCACCATATCTGACTTTTCATGCTAGTTGAATCAGTGTAACAATAGGCGTCCGATTTTTATTCAAATCCAATCATGACTAAATGCAGGACAACGACTCACCCATTCCTCCCCTTTTTTTACTAAAACTTGTATAATTCCAGGTTAAAGTTTGAAAAATAGAAAACAGCACGGTAAAAATTTATTCTCTTCCTGACACTGTGATGTTAAGAAAATGACAAAAATGACACTATTTGACCAAGTTCACAATCGGAGTTCGATTGTCAAGAAAAAAAGACCGAGTCCTGGAAAAAAAAACAACGACTTCTTTCATGTTTCGTCCCTATATTGCTGGGCTCAAGATAATGAGAAGACTCCGGCGGGTGCAACATTTTTTAGTGTTCAAATTGCAGCCTTGTAGGCCTTGCAGCAAGCACATGAATCTTATCAATTCGCATATCAAGTAAAGTACTGTGGCAGTAGTGGCTATTTGGAACAGGGGAACTTACCGAGAACTTGAAGATGGAAAAGGGATCTCCTCTACTCATTTGTGTTGAAGTTCGAGGCACCGACGATGAAATCAAGCAAATCAAAGACTCCCATTGATTCCGTCCAAGGGAGTCCCCCACAAACATCATACTTTTCCCTCTCATATTTTGCAAAAATTCAAGCCCATTGAATCTAAACCATATAAAAATTAAACGTGAGTCCAACGATTGCATTCACAGCACTAGAAATGTAAAACAGGAGGAGGACCCAAAAGGATTTAACACTGAATGATGTTCTCTGTTACCTTGGGAGCTCACAATTGAGAGGCTGCCATCTGTACTTGAGATAATCAGAGTCAGGCCTACCATACATTTGGCAGTTGAATTCAGCGTCGATAATGGTTGGGCAATTAGAAGATTGATACAATGGGTATGATTCATCACGAACCCAAGTGCCGACAAACAATGCACAACTACTTTGATTAGCTTGCAGCCTTGGCAATCTGTGCTGGTGGTGGTTGTGGTGGTTTCTCATGCTCATTATCAAAGCTGAAGTTGCAACCTTGGTTTGAAGCAAAACCAAGAAAACAATCGCAAAACATGATGCTAATAGATTGCAAGAGGACAGGATACAAGCAAGAGACATTTTTTAGAGGAGGGAAGGGTGAGAAAAGCAAAAGGAAGTAGCCCCAAAAAGCTAGTAAAAAAGCAAAGAGAGATTGCTATGACAAAAAAAGAGGTGATAGGGCTTAGGAGGATTGTGTAGTCTTATAAAAGATTGGTGGGGTTTTTGTTTTGTTGTGTGCATGTGAAGGTAGCTGAGATGGGTTCACATGAGTTGCATATTGGATTGTTGAAGGTTCTGATTTTAGACTTTTGTACAGAGTTCAATTTCATTAGAGGCTATTGATTCATCTGCAAGTTCAGTTTATGTCCACAAATCATGGGGTGCTCTTGGATCCGCTCGTATTTACATGAAACTCTAGATATTAATGGCTAACACCTACCTCAACAAGTGTAATGAAGCAATAATCTTTAGTTAGGTGTTGAGTGTTAAATAATATTTATATAGTCTTATTTATTAAGGATAAAATAGTACCTTCAGTTTAATCTATATATACTTTATTTGTATTCAGGTCAAGGTTAAGCATTTATAATATACAGATTATTCAGAATTCTAGTCTTTTTTTGTGTTTGATCTTAATTATTTTAACATGGTATCGAAGCTGGTTTTATGGAACGAGGCTTAATTCCGAATACAACTTTGCTTCTGCAAAAAATTTGGTATTTCGTCAATTTTTGTAATTATTTTGGAATTTCATCTTCCCTTCAACTTTTGCAATTTGCTATTTGCGTTCAGTTTCTGCAAATTTGTTTTGTGTTTTGGAGTAATCGTATAGTAGTGAGAAGATATTTGTTTAGTTTCTGAATTT